ATATTTTTTTTAAGCCCCGGCGGGGGGAAAACCCGTCCCCCCCCCCAAAATCAGACTCCCAAAATCTGGGGCTTTGGGACCCTCCGGACGGGCCTCGAAGCGGCCACCGGGCCTCGCAGGGCGTTTTGCCAAGCCTTCCCAGCACACCTAGGGCGATCAGGGGGGTCATCGGAGACGTCCCAGAGACCACCAAGACAGCACAAGAGCGCTCCAAGCGTGACCGACGTGACCTCACGATGGCCCAAGAAGCCTCCAGGACGGCCCCAAAGAGGCCTCCAAGAGCACTCCCAAGAAGGCACCCCGAGGCAAAAATCATTGATTTTCTATTGGTTTCTGGTGAATTTTGGGGTTCTCCTCTTTTCGGCTTCCCGACGCTCCACGACGGCGGTCTTCTGGGCGTCCGAAGCCGCCTGGGAGGCTCCAAAATCGCCCCACAACCATCCGAAAGGGCTTCCAGGCAATCCAAGAGAGCCCCAAAACGGCACAACACGGGTCCAAGATGGCCCTCAGAGAGCCCCATGGCGGCCCAAGATGGCCCAAAGACACCCTCCGAAGAATTCCAAATCGTGATTCGGTCGTTCAAGGAGACCGCGGTTGGAGGCAGGGTGGCCCGAGGAAGCCCCCAGAGGCCCCCAGAATACGCGCAGGAGGTCTCTAGAAGGCCTTAAGAAAGCCTGAAACAACTTTTGTGAGGCCCCTAGAGGCTCTCCAAGGAGGAGCCTCCGCAAAAAAGAGCTGAAGAGGATGGGGAGAATGCGCAGGGCATGGCGAAAATAAGGAAAAAGAAGCATGGAGGAAAGATAACGAATCACATTATTATAGCGGCGACGCCGGAAAAAGCAACCAGGAGTTATCGCTAAATTGTCGGCTTGACCTTCCTGCTAGTCCGCCTGCATACCAAACTTCAAGGACCACGGTGCATGGCGCGAAGCGCCACTGCAAACTTGTGTATATATATATATATACACATATTTATACACCTATCTCTGTGCTTCCCGCGATGGAAGGACACTTGCAAATGATGCGCTAATGCATCAGTTGAAACTGACAACTGTTGGACATGGAGCGGCGAGAACCTGTTTAGAGCGGCGAGCGGCTGGCCTGTTCAACCCACCATAAACGGAGGTTAGCGCATGGATGTTGGCAAAACGCACAATTGAGGTTCAACTTGCGGGGTACAAGTGCGTGGCAGATGGCCCCCCACCGTCAATGATCGTTTCAGCAAGTCGGCTTATACATGGCTTGAACTCGGCTTTCATGCATAAACACCTGCGTTGGAGTTGGCCGTGTCGCAGTGCAGCTCGCCAACGCAAGCACGCGTGATCAATCAATGGTGAGTGTGCCTGTCTCTGGCCCTAGGGTTATCGCTCTGCACGGCGAGCCGTGCCCTATCTGCGCTTCACCGAGTCCACCGCTGCTGCTGCTGCTGCTGCTGCTGCTGCTGCTGCTGATGCCGTCCCCGCCTCATCCCCATCCACCATTAATTTTCATAGATGCGCGTGGACCTTAGCTGCCCCGATGCGCAATACGCAACACGTAGCGTGTCGAAGCGGAGCTCAACACGTGGACTGAAACCGTAGGTCTGGCGCGACACGTTCGCCAACACGTAGCGTGTTAACACAGACGTTCGAAAAAGCGTTAAGTCTTGCGTTTCAACACGGGCGTATCCAAGCAGCTAAGGCGCGGATGCGGCGCAGCTGCGCCTTCATTGCACGCCGTGTCCGAGGCGGCGACGCGTCCGAGGCGGAGCCAGAGCGATGACAAGTATTGGGGAGCGAGGTTCTCAAAGGCGCGAGGGCTTCTGAGGAGCCCTGCCGCTTTCTGAGAAGGCCTGCCCCCTCTCACTTCCCCTCCAGGCTCGCTGCCGAAAGCAGAAGGGCGAATGTTTTCTTGCTTCTCACTGCGGCGGCGCACACGCACCTCCAACGGTTTTGGCAGCCGCGCTGGCAGTCCGTGGTGGTGGATGAGGGCGAAAACGAGAAGGAAGATGAGGAAGCAAAGGGGACTGAGAATGGAGAGGAAAGACGCCAAGGATCTCCACTGCGAGCCGTGCGTGTTTTTTCTCCTCCAGTCCCGCCGCCGTTGCCGCTGCCATCGCTCGCGTTCTCACCTCCGTGTGCGTGGCATAGTCGCACCTGCACTGGAGATCGCCATGCCGTGGCCGAAGCGGGGCAACACAAACGGCCTTTTCCCACGCCCTTCGGCGATGTGGCGTGCCGGCCGACCCCGACACGGACCGACCAGTCGCCGTGAGGCTCCTTACGAATAGGCGAAGTGCGAGATGGATGATGCTGCTGATGATGATGATGGTGATGACGATGACGATGACGATGATGATGATGCTGCTGCTGATGATGATGATGCTGATGATGCTGATGCTGATGATGCTGATGCTGATGATGAGGATGATGAGGGGGAGGAGGAGGACGAGGAGGAGAAGGAGGAGGAGGAGGAGAAACATTCGAGCTTGTCGTCGAGGACTGGTTGTGGAGCAAAGTGGCTGATCATCTTCAAGCTCCCGAGTTCCTCCCAGGCCTTTTTTCCCCCATCAATGCTGGCCTCAGTAAGCTCACGGTGCACGAACGCGCCTATGTAGTCAGTGTCATTTCTGGTGGCCAGTAGCCGCAGGAACGCCAGCACCTGTGTGGATTGTCGCATGAGCAAAACGTCGCGCTTGCTCCTGGGCCCAAGGCACTCCTCTGCACATGCATCTTGCGTGTCCAGGGCTCCAGGACTTGTTGGAGATCGAACAGGAGCCCCCAGCCTGCACAAGAGGGGCATGCTTGAGGCAGCAGGTCGCTCGCTCGTCCTCCTCCTCGCGGAGCGGCTGCCTGTGCCGACGCCTGCTCCCCCGCCCCCCCCCTCCGCCCCCACTGCGGGCGAGCTGTGCTTATATGGCACTCCCGAGGGGCTCGGAGGAGACTTGACTCTGAGCTCCCCCCACGATCGCCGGGGGGCGGAGGGGGAGAGGGGGAGGGGGAGGGGGCGGAAGAGGAGGAAGAGGAGGAGGAGGGGGAGGAGGAGGAGGAGGAGGAGGAGGAGGAGGAGGAGGAGGTCTCACATCGCTCGCTCGCTCGGCTGGGCGATCGTTGCGCTGCAGGACGACCCCAACCTCCCTTAGCTGGGCGTGCGAAGCGTGCGGTGGTCGCGGGAGGCCTGCCAGCAGGCTGGTGTGATATCGACGCCTGTGAGCTCTGGCCTTTTCTGGCCATCGCTCGGACGTCCATTTCCTGTGTTTTTTTCGGTTTCGCGCGTGGTTTTTTCGCCAAATGATCAAGGATGCTCCTCGATGGTCCTCGCCGAAGGAAAAATGCACACGTCCGAGCGATGCCAAGTTTTCTCATGGGCTTCAGGCAGGCCCTCCCTGATGCGTCGCTTTGGACCGATTTCAGCTTCGTGCCTGAGGAGGTTTGGGCCCGTGGGCGTGAGTACTGCTGCTCAGCCAAGGCGGCATGGACAGACATCTGGAAGCTAGTCTGGCATGCCATCGAGGATCGAGGAAGCCTCGACCAGTTGCGCTTGTATGAAGTCAAAACGCACCCTACTCGTTCTGATCAGCTTGCTGGGAATTCCACTGCTCGTGCGCAGATAAGTAACCAGCTCGCCGACGCGTATGCCAAGCAAGCTGCCGAATATACCAAGGCCTCTACAACAGGTTCTTGTCGTGCCGACTTCGGCGTTGGTTCCCGACACTGGCGGGGATCGTTCAACCTTGACCGATCGGCCGTTTCAACAACCGTCACATCGTTCACTATTCCCCGATTCATGGTCGCCTGCAACTTTCAACATTGAGCGCCGGCGGCAGGTCACCGCCCGTCGAAACAACGCGAACCTACCGTACCCAGTACCGTGAGCATTTTAAAAGCCAGTTCAAGGTTGTCAGCACTCTCACGCGTTGGGTCGGCCTGTGTGGGCCGCCGATCGCAGATCTCGATCGTGAGCACGTGCCTGTTTTCAAAAGGGTATCGAGGCCCAGGCACGGGTTGGACTCAAAAGTTATCATGCAAGGGTAATTCTTCCTCCGCCAGTGGTCGCCGCCGTCGAAAGCCGTGCCGACGTGCAGTCGGACTTGATTTAATGCGAGAGGACACAGGACTCTTCCGAGGGCCACGTTGTCATAGGAATATTGAAGGCATGGGTCGCGAGACGCATGACACAAAGGCACTCTTGACTTGGCGGGGCCGACCTACTCATCAGTGTCGACTGTAGCGATCGCTGCGCTCTAGAAAGAGGGACACGCCACTCACAGAAACTTTCCCTTCACTCTCGCGCGGGGGTGAAGGCAGGGGGTGGTGTGCGCCACTAGAGGTGCTGGCAGGGTTGCTACTATCTGTGAACAGTTTAGGAAGTCTTGCCCCCTAGTGCCCACGACTTGGGGCAAGCGAGTTCTGCGAGGCCTTGGCCAAGGCAGACGCAGGCAGGGTGAGGAGTGGCTTCGCCTCGCGAGCGTGGGGATCTCATATGCGCCAACTTCGTGCGCAGGAGGAAAAGGAAGAGGAGGAGGAGGAGGAGGAGGAGGAGGAGGAGGAGGAGGAGGAGGAGGAGGAGGAGGAGGAGAAGGAGGAGGAGGAGGAGGAGGAGGAGGAGGAGGAGGAGGAGGAGGAGGAGGAGGAGGAAGAGGAGGCATAATGTCTTCTGCGCTTTTGTCGCTCGGGCTTCCTAAGGGGCCGCTCCTCTCCACGGCTGGATCTGCCCCGAACTCCTGGCCAGAACGGGCTTCCATGACAGGCCTGAGGCTTGATTTCTGAAAAGGAGGAGGAGGAGGAGGAGGAGGAGGAGGAGGAGGAGGAGGAGGAGGAGGAGGAAAATGAGGAAGAGTAGGCGGAGGAGCAGCTTTTGAATCAGCTTTTTGGGTGGGGGGGCACGCACCGTGCCCCCCACCCCACGCCGAGCGCTCACGCGCGCCCGAGTCGTGCGCAGCGCGCGGCCGACCCGCGCCCCCGCGCAGCCGCGGCGGCGGCGGCCGCCTGCGCCGCCTCCTCTCTCCTGCTCTGCCTGCCTTACAGCAGGAGACGGATGAACGGTCCGCCGCGCTCTGCACGCTGCGTGCGAGCGCACTTGACCTCCTGTCCCTCGGCCTCCAGCCAGCTGCACTGCTGCGGGCGCCTCTGCTCGCGCTCGCGCCCGGCAGCTGCGGCCGCGCAGTCGCCGACCTCCCGCGCCGTCGTCTCTCCAGCCGAGCCCTCGCCCGGGGGGTTGACCTGGGCCACCAAGCTGGCTCGCCAGTCCGCACGAGCGGAAGCGCCCACGCGGGCTGGTCGCTGGGGCTGTGCATGCACCCCGTCAGCGGCGCTGCTGGGGCTGTCTGCCTCTTGGCCCGCTGTTCCTTGGAAACCCAGCGCGGACGCGGCTGCCAGGCGTCGGGCTTGCTCGGCATGCAGGCGTGCTCTGCCATCCTGGAGGTCCATGGCGTCACCCTTGTTCGCGCCCAGCCAAGCTGTCTGGCCACTGGTCGCGGCCTGTGACTGGCCCTCATGGCCTCCTCCAGCCGTCCTGCCACTTTGTTGCCGTTAGCCGCGCCTTGGCCGAGGAGGAGGCGGAGGAGGAGGAAGAGGAAAAGGAGGAGGAGGACGAGGAGGAGGAAGATGATGAGGAGGGAGGGTCAAAATTCGCAAAAGCAGGGCTGGTGCGTGCGCCACTCACTGCACGACTCCTGCAAGACTGAAGAAGGCGAGGGCGGTCACTCTCAACACATGACGTTGTCGTACTTTACCCTGACGTATCTGCCGCCCTGGGTGCACACGGTGTACCTAGACGAGGCGCGCTCGACGCCTTTAACCTCAGAAACAGAGAAGCCGTTATAAACACAAACGTTCGGAGGTCCGCGCGGATTTCTTGGATCTGCGCTTGGCCCCCCTCCCTGGCGCGCGGAGCTAATCAAGGGCGGCGCCAGAGGGGCACCGCCAGGCCAAGAGTAGCCCAGCTCCGATGTAATAGATCCGCGCGGAGCTCCGAACAAATATGCATATGCCGTCTTACCTTCTCCGAATAACCTGCGCCATCTGCCCGTTCAGCTCCGGGGAGGTGGACAAGCCCTGCAACAACACCTGCCGATACCATTTTTCAATGCGCCGCTTCAGAGGCCCCGACCCGCTTCCTGGGGCCAGCTTTTCATGGTGGATCCGTTTTTGATGGTCACGAGGCCCGATGTAACGGGCCCCGGAGGCCGAAATAGAGGCACATCGCCCTGGCTTAAATTATCCTGGCGAAGGACCCAACCATGCGCAGGTGTGAATACCGCAAACATGAATCTCATCTTTGCCCGCACTCCCTATGGGGCCAGGAATCGTGCGAGGGGCGCGCCGAAATGCGTGGCGGGGCACGCAGCGCGAGCGAAAACGATAGGTCTGTGTGCGAGAGACTTAGCGCGAGTGAGTCTGATTGTGAACGAGTCTGCGTGCGAATCAGCCTACGCGCGTGAACGTCGACGCCCATGTCGGCGCGCTCCTCCCGAGGATCGCGTCCGCTTCCTTCCCGTTAATTTTCGCTCTCTTTGCCCGTGCGCGCCCATGTCCGAAGCTGCGGGCGCGGCGCCGCGCGGAGTCCCCGCGACGCGCGCCAGTCGCCCCGAAGGGGTCCCGGCGACGCGCGCGGGTCGTCCGCTGCGCGGAGCAGAGGGAGCTAGCTGGCTGGCTGATAGCGGGCAAGGCTTCGGCGGCTGGGCAGAGAGGCGACGGGGGCGAGCGAAGCTCTGGGCAGAGCGCAGCGCGGAATTCCCGCGACGCGCGCTGGTCGCCCCGAGAGGGCCCCAGCGACGCGCGCGGGTTGCCCGCGGCGCGAAGCCAAACGGTCAGACCGTCGAGAGACGGCGGGGCTCGGGCGGGTCGCTTTTCAAGTCAAGCCTCGTGGATAAATTCGGTGAAGCCCAGCTCCGGGGCGAGGGCCGTCGCCTCCCTCCTGCGCAGCTTCGTGCGCGTAGCAAACTGCTCCAGCTGCTTCCGCAATCCCTCTGGCGGCCCTGCCAGGAAGAACTCGATGCGCGGCGCCCGCATGAGTAGGAGGTCCTCGTGGCGTGTGGCGCGCGAGAGCAGCGCGTAGAGCTCCAGACACCAGTCGTCGTCCTCCTTCTTGCCGTTCCCCACCTCGGGGCGGCCGCAGTCCAGGATCACGCCTGGGCGACGTCGGCCGAGGGAGCAGCACGCCGGACAGCCGACGGCCCAGGGCGAGAGTCCACGAGACCGAGAGAAGGTCTCCAAATGTGTGAGGGGCCACGAAACGTGTGAAGGGTGTGCCAAAATAGGGCGGCGCCGCCATGCGGGCTGCGCCACTGGGACCTCCTCTGCCACTGGGACCTTCATTGGAGCTCCTTATGGGGCCACGAAGCGTGTGATGGGTGTGCCACACAGGGGCGGCGGCGCCATGCGGGCTGCGCTGCTGGGACCCTAGATGGAACTCCCTATGGGGCCACGAAACGTGTGAGGGGTGTACCGAAATGGGGCGCCGGCGCCATGCGGGCTGCGCCACTGGGACCTTAGATGGAGCTCCCTATGGTGCCACGGAGCGTGTGAGGGGTGTGCCAAAATGGGGCGGCGGCGCAAGGCGGGCTGCGCCACTGGGACCTTAGGTGGAACCCCCTATGGGGCCACGAAGCGTGTGAGCGGTGTGCCGAAACAGAGACATGCGGGGAGCAAAGGCAAGGAGGGGGAGGAGGGAGGATGAGGAGGAGGAGGAGGAGGAGGAGGAGGAGGAGGAGGAGGAGAGAGGAGGAGGAGGAGGAGGAGGAGGAGGAGGAGGAGGAGGAGGAGGAGGAGGAGGAGGAGGAGAGGAGGAGGAGGAGGAGGAGGAGGAGGAGGGAGGAGGAGGAGGAGGAGGAGGGAGGGAGGAGGAGGAAGAGGAGGAGGAGGAGGAAGGAGGAGGAGGAGGAGGAGGAGGAGGAGAGGAGGAGGAGGAGGAGGAGGAGGGGAGGAGGAGGGAGGAGGAGGGGAGGAGGAAGGAGGAGGAGGAGGAGGAGGAGGAGGAGGAGGAGGAGGAGGAAGGAAGGATGAGAACGCGGGGGAAAAACGAAGACCCAACACCACAGGATGGTTGGGAAAAATCATCTCGTCGGAAATTCGTGGGGCCAACTTGTAGTTCCGGATCCGTTTTTGATGGTTCGGGCCTGGTTGGGAAAAATCATCTCGTCGGAAATTCGTGGGGCCAACTTGTAGTTCCGGATCCGTTTTTGATGGTTCGGGCCTCCGGAAGCCGAAATCGAAGCACATCGCCCAGGCTGAACAAAAATCGTCGCGTCGGAGGTTTGGGACACAGGCTCTCGCGCCGGTGGCGTGCCCTGCAGCAGCACCTGCACCCCCTCGTCCAATAGCACGCAGTTGCTCGGCTGCAGGGCGACCACCATGACGAGACCGTCGAGGAGCACCCTGTACCGCCCGCGCGCCTCGTCGAAGCCGAGTATGCGGCCCACGAGGCCGTTGAGCTCTGGCCTGCCCTTCAGGGCGGTCACCTCCACCGTGCAGAGCTGCACGACGCTGCTTGGCCTGAGGGACAGCATGTCGCCACCCTCCTCGAGCCGGACGTCGTACCTAAGGAGCCCTTTTGACGCATACACGGGCGCGCGGGCCTAGATTCACGCAGGGGTGGAGGCAAGGAACGCGAGAAATTTGGGCCCGTCCGAGGCCCCAAATCTGTGGGACTTCCGCCTGGCGGCCTCCCCGCAACGCGCCGACCCCATCCCCGCACCCCCTTCCCTAGCGCCAGTGCGGGAAGCGCGCCAAGGACGGTGTCAGAGGCGCCGCCAGAAGGGTGCTGACCCTGAGATCCCGGCGTCGCAATATTTGTCGAGTAGGGCGTGCTCGCGTAACTTTGGGCCCTGTGACCCTCACGTGTTGTTCTGGTTCGACAAGTGCAGCAGGCACATGGGGTCCAGGGCTCTTGTCGTGATTTTCCATGATGCTGCATATTTTCGAGGGTGTGCGCCAGAAGCGCGGCCGCCCAGAGCTACAGTGGGCTCCATGCGTGTTCACATTCATGCAGCACACGCAGTCGCAGATCAGTGTTTGCCCTTGTCCTCCCCGTCCTCCTCCTCCTCCTCTTCTTCTGATTCTTCTTCTTCCTCCTCCTCCACTTTCTAGCATGCTGAGGCGCCGTGCCATAGGCTGGCGCATGGCTGCGTCGTTGCTGTTGCTGTTGCATTTTTGTTTGCGCCGCCGCATCTCCAGGGAGGGATGGGGGCCCCTGGCGCGGGCGGGGAAGACTGCCCGCGGGGGCGCCTGCGCGATAGAATGCTTCTGCGCCCGTGCGTGCACTTCCTGCTCCTATCGGCCGCTTTCCTGGGACCGGTCTTGTCGGGCGGGTGTTGCCCGAGATCCGAGGATCTGATTTTTTTCAAGGCGGCGTTTTCCCCTGGATTTCGGCCTCCGGGGCCCGCCATTGGGACGATGTCCATCAAAAACGGATCCGGGACGAAAAACCACCTCCTGTGAAGGAGTTTGGGACATCTAGGGTTGCGGATTGGAGAAATCACATCGGCGGATGTCTGGGAGGGGGGGGCCCCAAAAGGGGGTTAAGAAAGGGGCCCTAAAGGCGCCCTACAGGGCTCCTCTGGAGCCACGAGGGGGCCCAGAGGGGCCCTGCAGGGTCCCTTGAGGGCCCCGCTCTCGATCCTCTCGGCCGCCTCCCTGGGGCCGATCTTTTCACGGTCATGCTCGCCCTGCTCTGCCGAGTTCGCACCTCGGCACGCCCACAACGGCTTCAGCGGCCTCAGCTCGCGTTGTGCTCCCCTCATGCCCCGCTGTGCACCCGCGCGCCTGGCCGCTGTGGACCGCCGCCCGACTCTCTTGCGGCCGCTGGCCAACACGTTTACTCACGCTCCCAGTGCCCATAAGCTGGGCGGCGACATCCGAACGCCCTACCCCCAGCAGCCATCGGTTCTCCTGAATCGATGGGGGGCGGGGGCAGGGTTCGGATTTCGCCGCGCGTTCGACGAGTTCCGAAACCCATCCCCGCCGCCCGTCGAGTTGCCTGTGTCGTTGATCGGCGAGGGCAGGGCTAGGATTTCGCCGCCGAAAAACTGCCAAGGTGCTCGAAATGTCGAACACTTTCCTGTGTGTTTTTTCGCACGAAGCGGGCCCTGGACCTGTCCTGGGACGCGGCCTTGGCCAGAATTTCGAGGTGGACCCAGCCGCTGCGACGAGGAGACTCCCGGAGGCTCCCCCCAGAAGGGAGAAAGGCATGGACAAACCTCGACCCTCGAACCTCCACTGCTTCTTTGTTGGTTTGCTTGCCACCGAACGTTCGTGAGAGGCCTGGGTTGGGACGACACCGATGTCAGGATACAGCCGGCTCAGGATGCGCTCTAGGAGTTCCAGGGTTATCCAGCGGCCCTCGCTCCTGGAGCCAGCGCGGAGCAGTAATTCGGGCGTCTTGGGAACACGTGGGGATCGGGGACATCTTGGAGCGCATCACGCGCCTCTCGCGCGCCTCCTCCTCCTCCTCCTCCTCCTCCTCCTCCTCCTCCTCCTCCTCCCTCCTCCTCTCCTTCACTCCTCCTCCTCCTCCTCCTCCTCCTCCTCCTCCTTCTCCTCCTCCTCCTCCTCCTCCTCCTCCTCTTCCTACGGCCTCCCGCCCCTCTGATGGGCGCCTCTCGCGCGCCTCGTCCCAGCCGCAGACCTCGGCGGACTTGCCGTTGTGCTCCGGCGCCCCCGCGAGCCCGCGGACGACCACGCTCGCGCCCAGGGGCTTCGCGTGCGCCGGAAGCGCCGCCGCGCT